TTTGAGACGGATATTGCATTATCTGAAAATTATGTTTTAGTAGATGCTTTATTTATATAATCGATAATTACTCGCGTAGAACTTTTAGAGGAATTACCGGAAACGAAGGCAGGCAAGCGCTGGAAATGAAGAGGTCGTAAATGGAGTGATGCATCAAAATGGAACCCGTCGGAAGGGACAAAATGCATTCGAATTGAAAGAAAATAAATTTCCTGACCCTCATATAAATTATAGTTTCCAGCCAGATTCAAGACCTTACGCGACGAACGGATCAAGTATCACAGTAATCACCGTAGAGCCCAGTTCATCTGTATGACATCTTCATTTCAGTTTACCACCTCTAAATAAGACCGAGACAATTGCTTATGAATCTGAATGGTAAGTGCAAATATGGTAACTTTTCTGTCTCATGTACATAACATTCTTTTTTCCGTGGCGGTGGATTAAATTGCATGATAAGAGTAAGTAGCTTATTCAAATTAGTTATCAGTTAGCTACCACATAAGTAGTGTGCAAAATACAGCATAAGTTGGTTATTACAGTCATGTATAGTCGTAATTTAGTGGTATATGTTATGTTATATAACTGATAACTCAACCAAGACCAGATTTCGCAGCGTATTGCGTCGTTCCCTTGATTCTAGTTGCCTAGAGAATAATTTTTCAGGCGGCTCGATGCCATTTGATCGTTTGAGGTGACAGATCCGTCTCGCGCCATTTTGTTCGCTAGACCCACGAAGTTTCAATAAGTTTCAATTACCGATCCTCCTCATATGCTACCGTATTAACCAGTGACTCTGTCAAACAACCTGATGCGATATGCATCTGGAGCAGCAGAGGAAAAATTCACCACGGAGGGTAGTCTGCTTTGATTGCCAGCTATATAATTATGAGCAATGTGTGGTGCGCTTTGCCGTGAAATCTGCTCTTGTAAAAGTCATGCATTATTTCTATTTTCCAGCGAAAACCTATTTTTTTATGGTAGTTTATACTATGAGCAAATTATACAATGTGAGAATGAATAATCAGTTTTAATTAAAATAAAGTATTTCATAAAATACGGCTGACTGAGAATGCAATTCGTGCTACTATATTTTCAGTTTTAAAAATGCGTATTACGACTATTAAGACACAGGTCAGAAAAACTAAAATAACTTATAAAATTGAAAAGCACAGGATTCTTCGAGACCTAATTATTTTACGTAATTTTTTCCGTTCTCCATTCCAGGTAAAATATTAAGAACCAGGATGATGTATACGTGCTTAGAGACATTTATTATATTTCATAATTCATTCTTAGTGGTGCTGACGCTATCGTAACGCCATGACCTTTAAGTAGAACTTTATCATCGTTCTTTTTTCTTTTGAGCAGTATTATCCTAACAGGTGTCAGAAAAACGTTCGTTTAATATCTGTTCATATTTGGAAAGAGATTTCAATGCCACACACCAGCGCAGATATGCATCATAGAGGTTCCCTAAATATTTACGTAAATTTATGAGGTGTAATACAAAAGCATGCATTTTGCATGACAGGCATTATCCGAACGAGCTGTCTGAATTTGTATGAGGCAATAATTGCGGTGCACAGTACACTTTAGCAAACTAATATTTGAAACGATTCCTTGGTTAGTGCTTACAGTCTTGATCCCTCTCTGTCAAACACGGTGACTTCTTAAGTTACAACAAAGTTACCAGTCGAGAGCATGTGATACCATTGCGCCCAGGGTAATCAACTTTAGCATTTCTGAGTTACACAAGATTTAATAGATATTTGCTGACCAATTTTATCTTGGTTTTCTACAGATTCAGTATTTCATTTGCGAGTTAATGGTTGGACTGAAAACAGCAGAAAAGGCGGTTTATTTTCTTATAACGCGAAAATATGGTCAATCAGATGATTGGCTAGTACCGAAGTTTCGGCCCGTTTCTCACGGGCCTTCTTCAGGATGAAAGATTGATGAGTTTCAGAAGTTTCTTTGTCGTCTGCAGCGGTTGTTGGCTTAGAACCAGAAGACTCGGACGTGAGACACGGACCTAAGCGTCGGTATTGGTCAACCATTCAATGG